CAGATGTCACATCATCCGCCTGTTGAAAGGAATTTCATCCCAAAATTAGTTTTAGATCCCGGGTTCCTAGGGATTTGGAAATGTTTGGGGTTACTTCTTTTTCATTTGATCCTCATGCTCCCAAGTGTAGTTAGGTCCCTTCTTAGCGTTCGAGTGGACCTTCACTATCCAAATGCAACTTTGTTTCGTTTGTTTGACCTCTCTATCCATGATTTTGACCGGTTATTTAATGAAATCTAAGCTTTCATTAACCCCAATCTCGTCTATTGGAATGACAATAATTTCATTGGATAGACATTTGTAGTGGTTTGCTACATGAAAAGTGGGATGTATATTGCTATGTTCTTGTGGCAGTTAGAGCTTGTAGGCTAGAGGGCTTATCCTTGAAAGGATTTCGAAAGGTCCTATATATCGTGGATTGAGTTTACCTCGTTTGCCAAAGTATATCATCCCTTTCCATGGCGATACTTTTAACAACACTCAGTCACCAACCTGAAACTCCAAAGGCTTGCGCCTCCTTTCTGCGCAGCTCTTTTGTCAATCTCGGGATGCTTTCAGTCATTCTCGTATCTGAACGATCTTCTATGTTGTTTCCTATATGATCTATGGGTCGGTGAGGGTGATGTTGGTCACTTGACCCTTAGCTAGTTGGGTGTCTCCAACTTCAGCCCAACATAATGGTGATCTGCACTTACGTTCGTATAGTGCCTCAAACACAGCGACTTTTGATGTTGGCGTGGTAGTTATTGTTATAAGAGAACTCAATTAGTGGTAGGTGAGCATCCTATGCTTTGCCAATGTCCATCCCATAAGCATGAAGCATATCTTCTAATGTGTAAATGGTTCGCTCACTCTGACCATCTGTTTGTGGATGGTAGGCTGTACCCATATCGAGTTGGCTCCCTAAGGATTTTTGCAATGATTGCCAAAAACGTGAAGTGAACCGGCTGTCCTTATCTGAGATTATGGACAATGGCACACCATGTAGTCTTACGATTTCCTTGAGATACGTTTTTGTTAGGTTTTCCAGATTATATGTCTCTTTTATTGGTAGGAAGTGCGCAGATTTGGTTAGTCTGTCTACGATCACCCAAATGGTATCGTTTTCACCCGCAGTCTTGGGCAACCTTTTTTATGAAGTCCATGGTAATTTGCTCCCACTTCGACTAAGGTAATTTTGGTTGTTGTAACAGCCCAGAGGGCTTCTGGTATTCTACTTTGACCTTAGAACAGGTTAGGAACTTACCTATGTAAGTGGGCAATCTCCACTTTCATAATTGGCCACCAATACAACCTTTCCAGGTCCTGGTACATCTTGTCTGCCCCATGGTGAATGGAGTGTTTTGTCTTGTGTGCTTCGTTCATGATCAAATCACTACGGCTACCAAATTTTGATCAAATCACTTCGTTCATGATTTGTGCAAGTACATGTGAGTGCATGGTCATCGTTAATGATTTTACTCGACTCCCAGATTATTCCCTGCATCTTTTGGCATCTGCTTTGATGTTTTCCTTTCCCAGGTGGTAACCAATATCACATTCATAATCGTTTAACCATTTGAACCATCTTTATTTCCTCATGTTAAGTTCTATTTGGTAGAGGAGGTGTTGAAGGCTCTTTTAGTCAGCAAATACCATATACTTAGTGTCATACAGGTAATGTCTCCAAATCTTCAGGGCGAAGATTACGACTCCAAGCTAAAGATCGTGGGTAGTGTAGTTGACTTCGTGTGTTTTGAGTTGACTAGAAGCATAAGCGATGGCTTTTCCTCTTTGCATGAGTACGCATGCCAACCCTTGATTCAAGGCGTTACAATACATGACGAAGTCCTCCATGCCTTCCGGAAGGGATAGGATTGGTGCACTACACGATGGTTACTTCAATTTCTGAAAGGCATCCTCTTGTTTGTCTCTCCAGTTAAAACTCACCCCTTTTTGGGTTAATCTTGGGAGGGGTTTAGCTATCTTGGAGAAGTTGTTCATGAATCTCTGATAGTAACCCGCAAGACCCAAGAACGGGGGTATGTCTATCGCTGTCCTTGGTGCCTTCCAGTTTTCTACTGCCTTTATCTTGGATAAGTCCACACATATTCCTTCTTTGTTAACTGCATGTCCTACGAAGTCTACCTTCCGTAACTAGAACTCGCACTTTGAGAACATTGCGTAAGGTTTCTCTTTTCGTAATAATTCTGGTATTGATTGTAAATGTTGCCTATGCTCCTCTTCGGTTTGTGAGTATATCAGCATATCATTGATGAATACGATCAAGAATTTGTGTAGGTATGGTCTACATATGCGATTCATGACGTCCATGAATACTGCTAGAGCATTGGTCAATCCGAATGGCATTACTACAAACTTGTAGTGGCCATATCATGTTTTGAATGTCATTTTCAAGACATCTTCTTCCTGAACTCTAAGTTGGTGGTTCCCTGATCGCAAATCAATCTTTGGGAAGTAATCGGATCCTTTTAATTGGTCGAACAGATCATGGATCTTGGAGGTGGGTACCGGTTCTTGACGGTTAGCTTGTTCAGTTCCCGATAGTCAATACACTCCTATGGTGAGAATAATACTAGCACGAATAAGACTAGCACTCCTAAGGTGAGAAGCTTCGTCTAATGAATCCCTTATCTAATACTTCATGTAGTTGACTAGACAATTCTAGCATTTCTACTAGGGGCAGTCTATACAAAGACTTTGCTAAGGGGGCTGCCTTTACGATTAAGTCGATTCCGAACTCGACTTTTCGTACATGTGGTAATCCTCGGGAGGTCTTCTAGAAACACATCAGGAAAATCACGGATTTTTGGTATGTCCATGATTTTCTTCACCTCTTTCTTCTTGTCCATTATGTGTGGTAGAAATGCATAATACTTATTGTTCAAGTGCTTATGCACGTTGATGCACAAGATGATTCGGAGGCCCTTGCTATGTTTGTCACCGTATAACAGGAGGGTTATCTTGTTTGGTAGGTTGAATCTGACGACTTTCTCGTGACACATGATGTCGGGGCGCTGAGTGGTTAACAAATCCATGCCGACTATTACCATGAAGCACCAAATGGTCATAGGCATGAGATTGATTTTGAAGGCGTGGTCGTTTAGTGTTAGGGTGCAGTTTAGGTAAATTTATTCAGTTTTTTCTAGTTCTCCCGTTAGCCATCTCTATTGTATAGATTTCCCTAAGTGTTTATGGGTTCTGATTTTGTAGCTGCTTGAACTCATGACCAACAAAGATTTTCTCGGGACCACTATCAAAAAGTACATAGGCATAGGTGTTATTGATAGGTATCATACCAGTTATGAAAGTGAGCTACTACTTTGCTTCTCTTGTACCCATGGTCAACGCCTTGCCTTGTCCTCCTGCACCTGAATTCTTTGTTTTTTGGCAGTCCCTCTTGAAGTGTCCTGTCTCTCCACATCTATAGCAAGAGCAGGTTGCTCCTGAGTTGGAAGTTTTGCTAGCCACTTGAGTTGGGCCCTACAGAACTTGGTAGTGTGCCCCTTTTGTCTGTAATTGGAGCAATACATCTCCCTATAGGTGCCAGTATGGTAATAAGGACACGTGTCACATTTTGGGAGGTTCCCATAATATTTCTTTGTTTGGTTGGTGGATGCAGGTGTGATAGCGACAACAATTGCCACAGTCCCTTGTTTCTTCTGGGGACTCAGGGTTTTTCACTCTTTTTATCCCATTATTTCCTCTTGTTATCCCCACCCTTTGGGAGGGTTGGATTTTAGAAACATGGTTCCCTGGCAGATGCCTCGGTCAGTCAACTGATGAGCGATGCACTTTGCAATGTCAAAGTTGGTTGGTCGAGACGAAATATGTTTCCCATGAATCTGTGGGACTAGGTCCTCGATGTACCTCTCTATCTTCTTGTACTCAGGAGTAACCATTCCTGCTACAAGACCGCTATGTCATTAAAGCGATTACTATAAGCTGCTATTTCAGAACCTTTCATGGTATGATTCTAGAACTCTTGTTCTAGGCCTTGCATCTCACTTTGTGGGCAGTATTCCTTCATCATCATGATGTTTAATTCCTCCCAGCTCATGGAATTTGTAGCAGTAAGGCCCATGGTTGTCACATGGCCCTTCCACCATGACAGGGCAGAATCCATAAAGGTGCTAGCAGTAAGCTTTACCTTGCAAATGTTTGTGTAGGAGCTTATACAGATTTGGTCTTTTCAATCCAGTGGGTTAGTTCGATTACCCCTGCATCGCCATATAAATTTTTGGGTTTGCATTTAGCGAAGTCCTTGTAGTTGTCAATTTGGGGATTTCCCCTGCTGTCGTTATGGGAACTGTTATTCACGTGTCTTTACCCCTCGTATCTGTCAATGTGGTAGTTGGCTACCGAGGTTCCTACCCTTTGTGTAATCCTTTATTCGATTGTGGCCACGTCCGTGGATATCGGTTTGGGGGTTGGTGTTGGTGTTGGAGTTGGTGTCGGTGTGGGTGTTTGTGTTGGTGATGGTCCCATACGAACTCGTATGCTTCGTCTGATTGGCATGACCCTATCTATCAGATGCCAAAATAGCATACAGTGTGTCCTTCCATCTCGCTCATCTTACTAATAGCTTTCTCTGCCCTTTGCTCCCTAGCTGCTATCCTAGTCTTAGCCGCTAGGGCTTGTCGCTCCAAGGTGGCAACCCTCTCCTCTATGTAGTGTACGTGGGTCGTAGTGTCCACATGATCACCCTATTGAGTTAGTATGGTCTCCCTCTGGCAATCTTTCTCTTCGTAGAAGCATCGAACTCATACTGCCGTGATTCGGGCCTCACTTTCGATCTCTATCACCTCATTGCTGAGGGTCTATACTCAGGTGCTTAGGTCGGACACTTATGGTACCATAATGGATAGTTCCACGGGGGTGCTAGGTCCCGAGGCATTGTGTGATGGATGCATGCCAAATATAGATCATAGACGATCCTCTCTCGCCTCTGAGTGTGGCTATGTCACCCATTGTGGAGGTGCATCCTGAAAAGAAGGAGGTTAAACGGGATCATTTGTGCCCTGGATGGGGTAAGGCTCGTCAATGATCTCCCTGATGTCTATCTCCTCATCTGACTCCTCTTCATAATCCTCTTTTAGATCCTCCAAAGGGTCTTCCTAGTGGATATCGCCTAGTTCTTCCTCGATCCAACCATTAGCTGCCATATCGGTATAATAGGGGTCTCAATGGTGGAATCCCGCCATGACTGAGAAGATAGGGTGTGTAAGGGCACAATATATGTGACTCTTAGTAACTAATTGGTGTAACTAAGTTGTTAGTGTAGATATTTAACGAGGTTGTGAAGTATTGATATGTAGATTACTTAAGTTTACCCGGTTGTCCGCTATGCCCATTCCCAGTTACATGTTGGTCAAACCTTGGTCAAGTATAGTTGATCGGGCAATATTCCCTCATAATTTGACAACATGTTATACTAGGTCTAGTCATAGTGTTCGACCTAAACTCTGAGGTTCTTGATTTGTTTCATTGTGACACTGACTTGGTTTTGTATGTGTATACTTTTATATAATAATTATTATTATATTTTAAACTATAATTGTAAGTTATAATTTTTATTCAGAGCTATTAGTCCCCGTATCTATAGTTGTATATCCTACATGGAAGAACATACTAAGTTCAGTATAGATAATTGCTCTGATACCAATCTGTCACACCCTAAAAAGGGATGGCGAAAATGTCCGATGGTGGAACGAGAATACAGTATCACAACAATTGAATACACTGAAAACACAAGTACATAAACAACCATCATATCATATGATTTTAGAAGTTTCGTGACCCAAATTTTACTTACACTACTAGAGAAACAGGCTTTTATGACGTGCAATCAATCGCACGCACTGATAGAGGACACGCATTTGTGAGTGCTCTAAAAATTCATGTCAGTTTTCCAAGATATGAAGCATAGAGGACACTCATTTTTGCGTGCCCTAAAATTAGTGTCTAATAAAAAAACACGGAGGGCACCTTAAATAAAATGTGTGTCGTCTAACCATGCAGCTTTATAAATTTTAATGAAATGCGCATTTCATCCCGAGGGGGAAATGAAATCCAAAAATTAAAAAGCCCGCTTTGTTTCTACTGGCTGAAAACCCTAGCTAATCCCCGCCGAAAACCCTATTTCTTTCTTTCTTTCATTCTTTCTTTCTTTCTTCTCTCTCGATTCTCAAACCTCCATTCACCTTCAACCATCCGCTGATTCTTCGACCCTTCTAAGTGTCTCCCACCGCCATCAACATCCAATGAAAGATGACCGTTCGACCCTTCAGAGTGTCTCCCACCGCTATCCTCTATTTTTGGTTATATATTTAACACCATCTGTTGTCAGTTTGGAGTTCATACGATCTTTGTCTCAAACTTTGTATTTAGCCCTCTTTAATTTTGATGAGAGCAACGACACCATCGAGAATGTCAAAGAAAAGATCCAGGTTCTTATTTCTCCTTTATTCATTCCTTTGATTTCGATTTTGATTCTTCTCGTATTCTCCTCTGTAAAACCATGACTGGAAAAGCGATACAGATATTAATCGTGATTTCGTCCTCCTTCGTTGATCCCCAATTCTACTCTCTAAGCATCTCAGGTGCGCTCCGTTCCATCTCTCTTATTCTCATTTTTTTTATTGCTCAAGTGAGACATCCATCTCCCCTACTTTCCTGCTTCATAATCCTATTATGATAGTTTTTCACAGTCACACACAACACCACTCACACATCCACATGTTTACTATTTTTAGCATAAATTTAAGAATTTGATTTTCTTGACATAAATTCTGGATTTAATGAGCTGCAATGGAGCTACATTAGTTAATGACTAATACAATATTATACTTCAAATTTTGAGAATAAAAAGTTACCTGATTGTTAACTCTTCTAGCTGGCACTGCATATCCACTTGGAGCTGAAGGTAGATTAAGCTGTTCATTCAGATCAGGTTCATTATCAGGTTGATGATATGAAGGTACCCCTTCACCCTCAGTTTCTTGACCTATGTCTGCCTCCAAAGCATCAAGTTTTTAAACATTTCCATAAAGTGAAGTTAACATTTAAAAAAAGAAAAATAATAATAATAAATTTCTGCTTACTACCCATGAGATCATCTTCATCAATATCATCGGGTACACAATAACTTCTACCAAGAGATTCTTGTATCTTGCTACTTATATCCATCATGTCCATCATTTCATCTTGCAAATTCTAAACATAAAAACAAGATTAAATGGTTTGTAAGTATAAAGTATCAAAAGAAAGAGATTTATAATATTTATACTAACATTAATGTCTTGTATCTTCACAGTTTTCATCAATTCTTTCAGCTCTTTATTTGCTGATTTCAAGGTTTTCATCTGCAAGATACAAAATTTAAAGATAAGTCTTTGATCCCATTTGAAGCAAATTCTTGATGATTGTGACAAATACTGTTTGCTGATATCAGCAATATGGTTAACGAATTGATGTAATTGTGACATTATCTAGCTTTCTGTTTCTGGATAAGCTTAGTACCAATTGTAATTAGGATCAGTGTAGACCTTACTCTTCCATGGGTGAATGAGTCAAGATCATCATTATGGTTGAAGTTTTGGGTTCAAATTTTTGTCTTAATTAGTCCCCTTGTATTAACCCTAAATTTGTCGCAAGTGAGAGATCTTGCAAGCAATTCAGAATTTGCAAATGAGAATTGTGTCCTTATGCATTTTTGTCTATTCAAATATAAAATAGAAAAAGGTTTTTTCTTGTATTCAAATTTCTTTCAAAATGACTATAATTTCTTTCCTTTCTTCATTCTCAGGTCTCCTATAGAGAGAGGTTGCCTTTAGGAGTTACAGAATTGGGAACATGTGATCTCTAGCCAAGTAAGCAAGTAGAGGCAGCCAAGCACACAAACATTGATTTGTCAATTGGGGATCCTCTGATTCAAATGTGTAAGAGATTTTCAGAACTGCTGACCACAATACACTCTCTCTTCTTCACTCTCTGCTCCACTATTGACTCTCTTCTCGCATTGAATGCACACTGATTGTTAGTTCTATGTTTTGATTAAGTACTGAAAGACCCCAACTTTCATATTTTTGAAAGACCCAAACTTTCATACTTCACAATATTATTACTCCAAAACATGGTACTTGCATATTCGTAAAAGCAATATTTTACATTGATAAGGGATTACAAACTATTGGATACAATTACGAAGTGTTATATATTACATAACTACCCAGGATATTGTAATTTATACAAACATAAACTGAAGTACAAAAGTATTATTACAAACTATTCTAACTCTTTCAACAGTATGTGATCATACTAGTTACTTATCACCTACAATTGTTAAACATTGATAGGGTAAGCGGTGACGTTTAGTGAGTTCAATAATAGATACAATATAACATTATGTCATATATATACTTCAATGTGGCAAAAGCAAAGAGGAACAACAAGACATATGTGAAATCATGTGACAAGCATTTATATCAATCAAAGACTTTATTCAAAGATATACTTTTCAATGCTTGATATACATCAATAAAACTTTGGCCCAAATGGCATAGACGGCATGCAATTTCTGATTAAAATCTTGTTAGATTTCAGGCTTATAGTCCTGTCTAACCGTTTGTCAATGCCATAGAATAGAAGTCATTCTATTACGGAGACATGCTCTACATGGCCAGAGGCTACGTACCAGTACCAATGTGAATCTAAGTCCTTTCACTTGTCACATGGTCAAAGGTATTACATTTGCTATAAACATAGAGAACAAAATAACACGGGAAAATAACTCAGAATAATAACACTGAAAAGCACATAGCACATATAACACATAAGATACAATTGTTCCTATATAGTGAACTCACCCTAAGTTAACCGGGGGTTAAAATAGTAATTTGGGCAACACTTCGGCTTTAAATATGACTTTCTATGTTGAAAACCGGGAGCTTAATTGAAAACCGGGCTCTGCGAAGGTAGGGCTTCAAAACCAAAAAGATAAAATTGTCGGGCTTCTCGGGAGCTTCGGGATGTGTTTCGGGTGCTAAAATTGATACCGGGGCTTCGGGAAAAGTCAAAATAGTGAAAATATGGATTTAGGGGTGAAAAATGGCAAAATTCCAAAATTAGTTGGCAAGTCTCGTAGCCTCCCTTTATATAGGGCCGAGGCTTCGGATCCGAGGGTTGAGAAGCGTCCACGTTGCAACTGCGAGGTTCGGTCAGGAGGGAGAAGACGTGGCTCATGCGAGCTTCGGACATCTGGCAGGAGGAGTGAAGGCCACGAGGCCGCTGCGAGGCTCGTACGTGGAGTCAGCGAAACGGAGCACGTGGCTTGCATGCGAGAGGGGCGACGGTGGTGAAGCGAAGCTTAGACACACGTCACTCTTCGGACGTGCCACGACTCCGGTGACGCACTTGCTTCGTGTGAGGTGACGTAGCTGATTCGTGGCCGGTACTGTTCATGTGAAATTCTCGGAAAATGTGCCCCAAACTTCTAAAATCCTTAACATTCTCATATGAGCTCCGTTTTTGACGTTCATTATATGCACGCGTACAACTTTTGTTTAGACTTCGTCGGCTAATTTTGAATTTATTTTTAATATTATTATTTTTAACAGACCGGGACAGGAAAATCCGAAAAAAAAAATTCATAACTTTTTCATCTGACGTCCGTTTTTGTCAGACTTTTTACCGTTGTTCTACTAATGACGATACCTTCAATTCTCATTTAGGTTGTGTCGGCTAAAAATCACTCGATCTAAAATTCGAGTTTTTAGTTGTCTACTGCTAAGCTGAAACTTCGAAAAATCATAACTTCCTCATATGAAGTCAGATTTTGGCGTTCTTTTTATTGAATTTCTCAGTTTAACGAATACTAAAACTTTGATTTAGATTACTAAGGCTAAAAAGTATGTTATCAAAAACTCACTTTTTATGTCATTCGGCGTTGTGTCGGTTTTATCGCGGATCTTCGGTTGGTCATAACTTCTTCGTTATAACTCGGATTTCGATGAGGTTTTCGCCTACAAGTTTCTAACGAGATTATTTACAACTTTCACCATTCGGCTTTTAATTGGAATCACATAAGACTTCCAATATTTTCTGAGTGATTCTAAACATAGTTTTACTTCATTTCTAGTAAAAACCATCTTGTTAGAACTCAACACTCAATTTCACATAGTATTTCACAATTTTATTTATTACAAAACACGATTTCAAAACGTGTATGTTACAAGTACATTCACGAAGATCAGGTGACTTGTTTGTATGAAAGTACGACTTGATTTGGGATTGATTGGGAGAAGAAAAGTATGATGTCTTTGATTATTGGGTCTTTTACTAGTAAGGTTTCGGTTTATTCTCCGCTATTACCAAATTCACCTTCTGTATTCATATCAACATGTATTTCATTTGCGATTTTTACTGGATTCAATGGTTTATCAATCTGTTAGCTCTGAAGTTATTTATGAAATCGTTAATGTCTTTCATATGGGTTTTTGGTAATTCTAATTTCCTTAAATAATTCACAAATATTGAGTTTTTCTTTTTAACATGTACAACAAATGTCCCCTTTTTGTTACTTGTCATGAATAGGGTTGTGATTTAGCTATCTGTGATGAACGTAAATAATACATTTTCAAGATTATATTAGATGAAATGACATATATTAGGTTGAAATTGCTTTCTCTACTTAGTATTTAGAACATACTTCCTTTTCTTTTTTGATCTGTTTACGAGCTTAGAAGAATGGTGACACCAGAAAATGTATGTTTTCACTTTTCTTTAATCTTTATCTTTATCTTCCTTTTCTTTTATCTTATTTTTGTGTGTGTTAGGTGTGTGATTTTGAAAGCATACTAGCTAGAATGTACAGACTGAAACGTCTACATCCCCAATTTCACGGCCAGAAAAGACCGATTTGTTTATGCTTTGTTTTATAAAATTAGAGTAATCCTTTGATTAAAAAAGTTGCGGAATTTGTTCCCAAAATAAATTATGATAAAATAAAATTTATCAAAGCATTTCTTAAAGAAATGTATTTTCATTAAATAACAAAATCTTGGGATGTCATGTTCTGATACAGACCAAAAGCATAAACAATACAAAATAGACCTTACAACAGTTATTTATAACTACTGATCTATAATCCAAAATCTCTCATCAAGTCCACCAACTTATACCCTTGTGCCATTACCTGTAATGCAAAGAAAACTGAGTGGGTTCGGCTTGGGAGCCTGGTGAGCATATAGAGTTTTCAACAGACAATAATATAATTATTATATTTAATCATCAAACTATCAACCCAATTACCCTTCCCCATTATCTTCGTTTAATCTTCCCTAAAGATATTATCCTAAGGGTCATCTCCTATATCATATTTACCTCTCATCTCCTTACCTCTTATTTCCTTATATGTTTGTTCCTAAGAACTTTTTCTAAGGATCATCTCCTACATCACATAGACAATACAAATTCAGGGATCACTCCCTCAATATGTATCTAGTAAGGGTTAGGGTATCATCGCAAGATTACGTAGCCACAACATCGTCTGGACTAGTAAATCATAATAAGGGTTAGACTATTATCGCATGAATATGCAGCCACAACATCGACTGGACTCGTAATTCATAATAAGGGTTAAACTATTATCGCATGAATACGCAGTCACAACATTGCCTACACTCGTAATTCATAATAAGGGTTAGACTATCATCACATGAATACGCAGCCACAACATCGCCTGGAGTCGTAATTCATTAGCTATCTATCATCACCTAATTATCGTCACCATTATATCCTCACCTATCTCTTATCACATTATTTCATCACACACCAACTATTTCATCTACCCATGTTCTACCCAACATATTTGTAGATATAAATTACATATGTACTTTAAATCATATACAAATCTGTATAAAACATTCATCCAACATCCATCTCAAATAAACAAACAACATATAAACACATAACATGTATTTCATAGCAAATACTTAATATCTATGTGTTAGAAGAAAGTAATTACACACTCACACAAAACATATACTTAATACATTCAAACAATACTTGTATTAAAATCGTGTTATGAAAGGGACTATACACTCACTTGATCAAAAGATGATCGGACAACACTACGACTCCAAGAGTAGTACTTATTCGGTAGATCTGAAAGATCTTCACAAAAACCGGCTTCTCATAGGAAGAGCTTCGACTCGGGAATTTAACTTCTTGGGATGTTCGGGCTTCGGGACTCGCTTTGGGTCTTGGGATGATATCGGGGCTTCGGGTTGGTTAAAAGAGGGCATAGAGAAAGTATCGGGAGTGAGTGCGAAGAGATTGAGCAACCAAACTCGGCTAACCCTTC